CGTGTGATTCGATGTTCACAATACGAGAAGATCAACGAAAAACTGCGATCACAGAAGGGGGCAGTGACTAGAACAACGCGACATATACTCCAAAACATAAACAACAATGAAGTTACGAAACAGTCACGTTGTAATGTACAATTGCATACATAAATAAAGGAGGAACCAAAAAATTTCAGTCAATTGCGTAGAAATGCTCGATTTCGCATCGAGCATACAAAAACTTTACAATTGGTGAACGGACAAAGAGCCATCTCACAATGGAAGGGCCGCACATTATTTATTGGCTGCGGAATACCGAAAAAAACAATGAGGGTCTCAATGAAAGTTAGCACCGGAGGTTTAGCTTCGTAACAGTACTCATCCAGTGCAGTTGAATGCTTCCATATCGGATCGCCATTTTTGCTTGTCGTTATGGAAAACAACGCTTCTCAAGTTTGAATAATAATTCACGTCAATTGGGTGATTTTCTTTTCGATAGATTCTATTGTGTAGCTCTTTCGCCCAACAAGAAATAACGCCGTAATCGATTTCCGGCACCATCTTATTAGCGAATAAGAACGGTGATTCGCGTATTTCTTTCAAATCTTCAACANCGAATATACAAACAGCATGACGAAAAAATTTGCTATGGCACGGAAGATTATCCCATTCCCACACTGTGTATCTGAAATATGCATTTACATGCTACAGATTACTTTGTGCTGGTAAAGACTAAGCAAGGAATGTTCACAGCTGGTGAACGTTTCAAAAAATGATATCTAATCGAATGCCGAGAGAGGTATCACGATGGACGCAGCAAAATGCTCTCGCAATGTGATGTCCAGCGACGTCTGGTCTATGCTTACGATGTGCATTATTTTTGGCTACTGCTCCCGAGAAAACTTCTTAATGAAACCGATTAGCGGGATTCGCTTTGACCGTATTTGTTTTCGGGTCTGGAACACTGCAAAGCAGAATCGGTCTAAGCCAATGTCCTAGGGCACACACACATCAATAGTGGATGATCAAATCAATATTCAGAACACTATCCGTCGAAATGAACCTCGTAATCAAGTGATAATTAAAACCCAAACATTTCCTCGTGTAACCACCTGGAGCATCTGCAAATAATTTCAATTCGCTTATTTTTTTTGCTGAGCCAGCCTTGATCAATGTTGAATCAGAGCAACCTATGTGAATCATTTTACGACAGGAATCATTCAGCTTCTTTGCATTTGATGAACAGTGACATAACTTAAGCGGTCATGCGGTTACTATAACTATAATTGAGTATAATGTGATTTTCATGCACAACAGATCATCTTAAAAGTTCACAGCAGACAAGAACGTCTAATTTCATTTTCGGAAACGAATGAGATCATCCGAAATTATTCACATTTTGATGAGACTATTCATTTTTACGAGAACGATTCTGAAACGAATTGATATGAACGATAGAGCTGACTGACTGAGATGGAAGAACGTTTGATAAGATTTGACAAACCGAGTGCATCTTCAGCGTTCAGAGTATGTATGAGCATTTCATCACTTCCTAATCCAATCGTATCGAAACGTTGCAAAAGAGTTGTTAAATTGAGCTTATCCACGATGAATTCAACGAATGATCGTGACAATGCATTTGATGTACCTCCTTTCGCTATGTTCAGCGTTCTGTTATCATTTTCTTCTGATTCTGAAAGATCGTTGTAGGGTATGAATACTCACGTAATGCTCATATTGGGCTTGAGAAGATTTCGAGAAGTTCTTAACCGAACACAGTCTTGGAGAAGCTTTTGACGGATCAGTACAGCATTCACAAGCAGAACAAATGCTGATAGCGATTTCAGTCTGATCGCGCGTGCACTATTAGGTGAGAAGGTTGTTCATGATAGCGCAGTTAACAAATTTTCAATCGGATTGAGCGTGAAAGCTTACCTTGAAAAAGACCAAGTGCTCGAAAGGTCCAGTCGTCGGATTTGGGAATCCGCGATTCAGGTGGTGAGCTGATCTCAACATTGTTGCTGCCATTTAACGCTTTTAATATGGTAATCATTTCACGGTTCGTTTTCAACGGAATATCGTGATTCTGAATGAACAAATGAAACTTTAACGGAATTATCCGTTGATCTATTAGAGGTGATCAATTTGAAGGTCCACAAATAGCCTGACTGGCAAGAGAACGACTAGTGCAAGCGAGGTTGAACTGGTGTGAGACGTCGACAGCATGTTGAAGCCGAATCAAAAACTATCATCATTCGNAGGATAAAAAACATCGTACATTGAGACCGCTGAATGAGTTCATAGTCCAAAAATAATTTCTATTCGTTTGAGGCAGTTGATGCAATTGTGTTTTGTTATTCTTGAATGTGAACTGAATTTGTTGTTTGTTATTTGTTAAATTTCTTATATTTGTTATATTTGCTATTTGTTAAATTAATTGTTAGATTTGTTATTGACTCAAGTCTCACTGGCAAAGTATTTAGTAAGGAGTGTATGAGTGAGTCGAATGTTTCACACATAGACAGTGATATCTCGACTAGTGATATCTCTAATAATTCGGGTAGTAATAACTCTGTGCCAGGGATCGGCACCCCCTGGCCCGCGGGCCAAAATTGACCCACCGAGGAAATTTTGTGGCCCCCAAGATGAATTCGAGAATTTGATCTTGAAGAGCTGAAAGAGCCTTCGAATTACACTGAGAATTATCGACACAGAATTTTCTATGTCGAGAGTTTCTGGCTAGCCAAAAGTGTGTCGCCAACGAGTACGTTTTCTTGATCCGTCTGTATTCATCTGACCATGTTATCCAAAAATCATGCACGGTTTCTGCTTTCTTGAGCGCATCATTGACAATAGAGGTTGTTTGGAAATCCGTAAGCTCCAACTGGAATGCGGTCTCATCCAACGAGGGGGAAAGTGATCGTTTGCAGTTCGACTCTGGCTTAGGCTCAGGAAGGCCTTGACCTCATCCAGCAGTGCCCAGAAGCGCTCCAGCGCTTGGCCTTTACTTAACCAGCGCACGTCGGTGTGGAGCTGCTTTGCTTGGACTATTTCAGGATTTTTGCGACAAGACTAAGCGTACAGATAAGGGAAAAACATGTTCGAAAAAAATGCGCAAAAAAACCAATGAAAAACATGTTGGTTCGCCAATCAGCTGCTCGGGGAAATTTTGGCCCGCTGACAAACCAACTTACGACCCCTGCTCTGTGCCATAGTTTTGACGATATCTTCCATTCTGTTCTTCTAAGCCAATTCAACTGTTCCGTTCTTTTGGCATCGTATAATCACTTCTAGAGCAATTCGCTTTCGTTCGTTGAAAAACGAAAAATTTTAAGATTTTCTATTTTGTTCCTTCCTGCCTTTGAACAGCTCTGTTCTACTAAGGGAAGACAGAACGGAGCAGTTTATTTGGTATCGAACATCAAAAATCTGAATAGTTTTTTGTGAACTGAAAACTACCTGCAGTGTGATTGCGTAGTTCCAATCAGGTAGCTTGCTGATTAATTTCAAGCACTCCAAAAAACTTCGATCCATGTTATGTCCAGCGCTGTCTATACTATATTCATTCGTTGATATATAAACGTTCGAGAAACATTTTGATAAATTTCGCATTTGTTCGTGAAAAATTTTGGTTGCTTTCTGATCAATTGAGTAACAATACGTGTTGATTGGGGAATACATCAGGTTGAACAATAGCTCTAGCAGATGATAATCCTGAACGATAGGAATGGCAATTAGCTAATTCTGTCATAATGTTTAGCGTGCTAATCGTTTTCCCGGCAGTTTATTCTTTCAGCTGGGTAGAGCTTTATAGATTACCTCGATCAGTCGATGAGGTTGCTTTCAACGGATGTCAATGAGCAACGGATGGTGAATGATGGAAATGTGGATTATCAAAGCCGAAGAATTTCATTCCAGAGTCAGATGTGCAGTAAAACACCAAGAGATTCTCACATAACTCACTGAAATGAACCCACGAATTCACCTTGTAAACGACTCTAACGAAAGCGATTGAATATCTCTCATCATGAGTGTTGTTCGGATAATATCCTCTTCTGTGTATTTCATCACAACTTACCACTATTTTCTCATCATCCGCAACGGTTGGTTGAGCCTTAAATGAATCATTCTTTATCAACACTTCTTAATGAGCATCTGAACAACTCACTGATCATAACTGATGACCGCAAAGGAGTAATAAACTGAATTCGATATCAAAACCCTCAGCCGACTCGAATACTTCGTTAACCTATTTCGAGAGCTGAACATAAATGTTCATCAAAAACAGGCAAAGAGATGTGACTCAAACTCGCCAAGGCTGAATAATTTGAATCTGATGCATTATTACACCGATCATCAGCCAAAACGAATCGCATCAGCAGAGGTAAACGCTGAAAAATGGAACGTTTATTGCAATATTCACAAATCATTATGTTCGTTCCAAAAGAAGTAATCTAAAAATTGTGTTAGAGATATAGAGAAGTTCATTTGACTGTATAGGTACCCTTGTTCAAATCAGATTCAATACCCATATCACTGTCTCATACTCACATCAACATTTGGTTGTTTAGATGATGCTTGTGCCATTTGTTCTGTTGCTCTTTTTGATGTCGAGTCTGAAATGATACTCTTTGTTTGTGTTCCGTTGTCAGTTACCTCCGTGAGTGCAGAGGTTACGTTGAATAACACATCCAGTGGTGACTCGACTTCTGTAGTAATCGAAATCTTCAACGCATCAAAAGACTTTTGGAAGCGATAAGTGTGTTGGGATGCTCAAAATTTTTAGGAATGAAAACAGCACAAACGAATCATTTGATTGCATCTTTATGCAACCTTGTTCTCCAGAGAGGATATAAGGGAGAACGATCATCCTTTTTAATGCATCGGGCTCCCCAAAGTGGACATAACCTCATATGCCTTGCTTGGTTAAATTTGAAGATGGAATATATGACAAATTGAAGAAGAGATTCTAAAAATGAGCGGTGAAAACCATCTGAAGGACAGATGCAAATTCGATTGCAGTTGTAACCGATATTTGTACGCGAACCCGGTGCTCCAAGTGTGAAACCTGATCCTTGTCGTGGAACTTATGTTCTCAAAAATCCCTGGTTCTTCTATGAATTCGGTATCTTTAACTGAACACCAGTCATTCCCAATGCACTCATATTCAGTGAGAATATCGCGAATAAAATCAATGGTAATAATGCGTAGATCAAATTTTGAAGGCAACGATAATAAATGATCAGAAATCATATCAATTGTATAAAGGGATTATCGAAGCTCGACGCCGATGAATTAAACAAATTAACCACCTCGGTGTTCAAAGTTATTCAGATAACTTCGGCATTTGTAAACTCTTGAATCAAAGATCACCGGCTGGGCCCCCATGTCGAAACTAATTCCTTTTGAATATCTCTTGAATTGAGATATTTTTGGATGTTTATCTTTTTGCGATTAATCTGTTTTGTCGAAGATTTTTGGACCGACGTGGAATCGAACTCACGGCCAATCGAACTCACAGATCAGATCCTCAAAGCCCAGCGTTACACCAGTATACTATCGGCCCATTGCATCATCTTTCTTACTTAAGAACTATCTCTTTGAGTACCATCATCATTGTAGGCTAGCCTCTCGCGATAGTCGCGACAGATTTGTCAAAAAACTGGAATCAATACTGAATTCCAAAAATGTTATTTGTTGTCATGAAAGTCACTAACCGAACGGAACAGTAACCTCTGAAATGCCTTTGTACGAAGAAACGTTGGGAAGGGCTGCGAATATAACAAATCGTTTAGGTGGAGTGAAACGGTTCCACCGACTGACGTTCCAAACAGAAATCTTCATTTATAAATCCATTTAATCATGGATATATTAACGCTGACACTTCGGGAGCGCTCCTGGGTTGGAAAACTACTCGGCTTCAACAACACCCTGTCCCTTGCATTCCCCTGAGAATGCTCAGAAAAGATGCGTTCGTGCAATGTGAAATTAAGCAATAACATGGATGATTATCAAAGTGTGCGAAAATGGGCTTACGAAATTGTTCTTTGATCGTATCTAAAGACTGCTTTCGATCAGTAGATGATATGATCCACAAGAAAAGACAACAGATCGAAGCGATCAGCAAGTATCGCAGTAATCGATTATACTTTCTTTGATTTGCTTTTCGGTAAAATATATTCATCGTTGAATCTGCAAGTAATAACTGTTCATTCGGCTTACGAATGCATGCAGATATTGAAATGATTAGGACACATTTCAACAGACTGGAACAATTTAAAACAGTTTGGCTGGAGCTAAAAATGTCCCAAGGTGAAATTGGGTGAAAAAATTTTTAAACAAACGAACAGAGGAATATGACGAAAAAAAAAGCTAGGTAAGCGTGCCCATGGACTTAAATACTACAACCGCCATTGGAAGGTGAAATCCGTAAAGCGATGAAACAGGTGAAGGTCGGAACTGAAAGCATTTGGAGGGCATTATCTCTGAATTTATTAATTAATCGAAGAGTATCCGACTCAATCGAAGTTCTCATTGTACGGAATCACTTCAATCACTTACAAGAGCTAAATTAAAGTCGAAGCCCGCACCACTGGCTAACAAACACGAAAAACACCAGCAAGTGGAATGGGAAATCTGTGCTCTCAAGCAGCTGCGAAACGTCAAATATGAAAAGCGTGGCATCGCCGAACTACACTATCAATTATCTGATAATTTGTTTGCATACCATAACTCATCACTAGTTTTACCAACGTTTTACAACTTGATGTTCATATCAAGCATTCACTTGTTTGATTGATGAATGAAAAAACGTTTTGTGGTATTTATTATCTTGTTGGAAAAGCTTCATTCGTTTACTCAACCACAACAACTCTACATAAAGCAACTGAAACAACAGTACTTATAAAAGAACTTTCATAATCCCTTCACAATAATATGTTTCCAGCTTACTACATATAAACATTAGGCAGAATGGTTTATCGTGGTTTAAGTTCTGAATTTCGCGAAATTCCATTGCGTCAATAGCAGTGAAATTCTTTATTTCGAAAAGCCTTCCTTTAGTAGATATCTTCTCAAATTCATTACCATCTACTTTAACCGACAATTAAAAATTCTGTAGTTCAGCGTGTCGGAAAGAAGAGGAAGTTTTCTAATACGGTACGCGATAGTATGTATGCTGTGTTCAAGATCAACGATTGGCGAAGTGATTCTTTGTATCAGTGGTTCTCATACGGGGTGAAGGTACTCATTTTGAGTAATTTAGAGGTTTCAAGGAGTAATGGAGGAGGTTAGGGTATTAGTATTCCGTGCAGTTGTTACGTTATGATAGAACGCCATTGTTATGGTGTTTTTTATAACTCGGGAATGTTAATGCGGTTAGTTGATTGCAAAAATCTTCATTTTCCTATTTTCTGAGTATCGTTAGCCCGTCCGGACCTAACAGGATTCATTTTTTACTGTTCTGACAGGGTTTATCATTCTTTTTCTTGCTCTCTCAATCGCTCTCATAGCTTTTATCACCAAAAGTGTTCTCTTCTGCTAATTTCTCATTCGTTTCACTCAACAATTAAAATCAAATTCTCATTCTATCAAATACACTCTATAATTGATTATTTGACTGTTGAACGTTGTTGAGCAATTCAATTCGACTGTTGTATTGCTGATTTCGGCTGTCAACACTCGTCGACGCATCCAGTAAATAGTATATGTCACAGAATGAGAAATTGATTCGATCTGTCAAGTGAAATGAGACGAAATGAATGAGAAAAACTCATCAAGAGAATGGTATTCGCATGCAGTAGCTATGAGAGTGAGTAGAACACGTCTGAAAAGAATGAGAATCCATCTGAATCAGTTTGAAATGAGCGTATCAAAGGCAATAGGTTTTCATGCAATCATAATCGATTGCAATAATGAGCAACGCAACAGTCTACGATAACTGTTCTCACAGGAAGTCAATTTACCCGTTTTTGATAATTTGGGGATAAAATACAGGTATCTGTTGCTTTTAACGCCCTTGGAGCTGCACGGAGAAGTTATTCGACTGTTGAACATTTATTGGAAGTTTGAGGATTTTCAATCTGCTACATTGCATTTGTTCAGTTCTATGATGTTAATGAGAATGATGAGGTCATTCCCACTGAAATATGCATTGAAGTGCTATATTACGTTGACAGCTCTGACTCACTCGACTTTATCTATGCGTGCAAACCTTTTGAACGATAAATACTGATGAAATGAAACCGATAATTCCTTTAATGGTGAAAAATAAGACCAACTTCAAACGATCATAATAAACAAACAAATAAAGGAAGAGAAATGCTTTTCCTACAGGATAAACACATCCAATTGATGAGTGGAAGTTGATGAAAACAAGTGAGGAAGTTGATGATTGCGTTGATGGTTTGTGTTTATCACTGATTTGACGACAGTTCTATTCGATTAGATGACAAACCAAGCCACCTCGTGTTGATAATCGTTTGATAACGTCAGCACTTATGAATGAATTTTCACAATCCTTTCATAGCAAAATGCTTACAGTTTGCTACGACGCACCTTGACGTGTTGTGAAATGCCTATCAACTCAAAGCGGAATGGTTTATGATCTAAACAAATAAAACTATTGGCAAATCAATGATGCGTTCATATTTTTTAATGCCTTCACTCGCCCTTCAAAATCACCAATATGCAAACTATCACACTTACAGTTAGTTCTTTTCTAAATTCTTCCTTGATTTGAAAATCTAATTTGTTTCTGTTTCTACAAGATTTCTTCGCAAAAATTGCTTCTATCATACTTCTGAATTTTTACGAGAAAAAGTTACATGATTGTTGAAATTATTCGAGCGCTTATTTAATGTTGAATACAATTTAAGTGAAAGCTTTTAAGTGTTGCGTTTGATTACACTCATTCGTTTCATCTAAGGATTTCAACGAAACTCAATTGAAATGAGTATTCTATTCCAGTATTGATCAATGAAATGAATTTTCTGGATGAATGTAATGCAGTTAGACAGATCGAATGTAAGACGACAGCAGAACACATTCCAAGGATCTCGACCGCTATCTCTCTGGTAATGAGCAACGATCGAGTTAGTGATGATTCTCAATCAGAAAGGTTCACCAAATGAATGAATGAAACGGCAGTTGAATGCTCTCAGTTCCATTTTCAGCGAACACTATTTCAAGTGCTGTGGAAAGTGGGCAGAAAAGCGGTCAACTCTTACCGTATCACACAGAAATGTTTCAGTTAGGTAGAACGAAAAGTCTCATGTGTTGCTCAGAGATTGCAACTGCATTACGCTAACGAAGATCAATGCTATAAAAGAATTCCTCTATTACGATACTCAAACGCAAGATGGCAATGGTGACAGAATTTAAAGTGGAGTTCGATTGTCGCAATGGATTCCTCTTCTTCCAGGGATCATCGCCTCGAACTGGGTATGACGATTCATGTGCTCCTAAAAGACTGTTGCCAAGATACACAATTACTGAACGAAACCGCGGAAACGATGGCGTTCCTCCTGCAAGACCACCACCAGAAATTCAGAATGACCTCGCAACCGGGAATGTATTGGTGGTAAAGAAACCAAAAAAGTATATTTACTCTGTCATTTGAGAGATTTCCACTCAATTAGTTCAAACAAACAACAATTTTGCAACATGACGATTAGTCTGATATGTTGGAACAACTTCATATAGCGATACAATCGTTTTCTTATATCATTGAGAGGTGTCATCCGTGATGAAAAGGGAAATCCTGGTATCTTTCACGTCAACGAATGTTTGTTAACGCAGCCGAATCACTGCGCAGTTGACTCGATGTAACTGAATTATTTTTCGACTCGATTTGGTGATAGTTGTCGTGAAATTCTGTTCTGTGACCGCCTATGAAATTCTCATTCGTGATATCGCAATTTTACGGTCCGAAGGGTAGCAGAACATTTGCATTTCGCAGTAGAATTCGTTTCGGAAAGCCTTCGTTTAGTAGTTATCTTCTCAATAATATTGCCACCTACTTCAAACGATAATTGAAAATTCTGTTATTCGGCGTGTCAAAAACAGAGAGGAAATTTTCTAGGCACGATGTTTCACAGCATACATGTTGTGTTTAAGATCAACGAATAGCGAACTGATTCTCTACATGAATGACTTCATTGGCTATCATCGGTTCATGTTCAGCGCTAATCGTTTTCCGGCCCTAATCTCTGTCATTGTTTCTCTATGGATTCTTTCCGGAGCAGAAGTGGAAACTTCTGAACAGAAACGATTGACAAGCATGGCTCTGATATTGGCCGCATGGATTCTTTTGGGTCAACTTTACGCACTTCACAATCATTGCAACTCGCATCGTGCAGCATTCATTCAGGTTATTCTCCAAATGCACATCATTGAATAGCTGCTTCACTTGGTTCAAGTACAACTTGAAAATGCGAACGAAGAATTTAGTCCTTAAAAGAAAATTTCTCAGCAGTTAATTGCACGTCCGAATACCTTCATACAAAACAAAACAAAAAATTTATTTCAGACCACATTCCGAGTGATTCATCTTTGTGTGGACATACCGCTGAGCGTTGCAGTGATTCTCTGTGCAAGTGCATCAATCAACTCATCAGCGTTCTGTGATGACAATGATTTGGTGCTGTTGGCAATGAGTTTGATTATTTTGACTCTTTCCACTGCAGCACTTCTCTTTGGCATATTCGCATGCAGAGTTTTGTACGTGAACGCAAAATCTCTCGAATAGGATACACATTCTCTTTTGAAAAGCATTGAGCACTGCGCGTAAACTGCTTCATCGTCCCTAATCACTAATCAGCGAACGTGATAGCATCACTGTGCCATTTTTATAATCTGACATCAATTGTTTAGTGGAATCTCTATTCCACATTTTTGCCTACAATTCCGTTTTGTCTTTCCAATTGTTCCATTCTATTCTATTGTATGCTCGTGTTTTTTTGCCTTTTCCACCTCAGAGATTCGAATCACTTCTGTCCTGTTCTGCTCTGTCGTTTATTACCATATGCCAAATTTATGACAAATTTTCCCTTATGCCAAATTTTGAAACTGTTACGAGAGCCTAGCTCAGGATGCGGGCTGGCGAGGCCAGGGGTGTAAGATGTTGGGCGTCGTCAAAGATTCCAAAGATTTCTGATTCAGTGTTATTACGTTTCTTCAAGACGAGGCTTATGAATCATCCTTCCCCTCCACCTCAAGTTTTGTTGTGAGAAACTTAATAGTTTAACTTCAGTTTTGTATGTGACAGCCTCGTAATGCGAAGCACTCCGTACCGGTGTACACGTACACGCCAGTTGTAGTGAGGTGTTGTTTTGATTCGTGTGTTATCGTAATAAATGTTCTTCCTTACATGATTCATAATCCACACACTACATACACGTTCCCCAATGCACACTCAGTTTGGTATACACATACACTAACGAATTGAATAATTGATTACATTCAATTAATTAATTTTAAAAATTCTATCAAGAAATATGAAAAAAAAACGTCCAACACAGACATGATCTGAGCGAACGAACAGTTCATTTCAAGTGGGACAAAAGTAGTATAGATCGATCATATAATACATTACTATAGCCTTATGAGGGTTAGCATCTTCAAGCTAACGGTACTCTCAAGTTTGCCCAGTAACATAGCGATTTCTTCACACCATTCGATTCCACGCAATCTTTAAATTCAGAAAAACATATATTTTGTTGAGCGATTTTGCAAACATGAGGAGATATAGCTAATTTCTTGAAGTCATCTCAACTCCACCCCAGCGATAAAAGTGGATGTAATTCCGTAAACCTGATCGTAGTCGTAAGAGGTTGTCTCGGCCTTAGCCTGACCCATTCCTTCCTGGTCAGTAGAGAGGATTTAACACAGTGTGTACTTTCATCCATGCTGCAAACACTTCTGCAGATTGCCGGAATCCGAGACATTTATAATGCTAATTGTATGGAATTTCGAGCACAAATATCACCTACCGTACCTTTGAAATTTATCTCTTTACCGTCGTAACTTCATTACTAGCAATAGCAACTGCCATAATCAATGAGAACTGCAGCTAAGAATTTCCTTGAACTGGGCCTCTTGCTCGTATCGATGGGGAGGGGAAGTGTTTGCTGGGATGCACACGAATCAATGCCCTTTTGTACTGCGCAAGAGAAAGTTTGCACGATCATTTGAGTGTACCTCGATCGGAACCAACGAAATGAAATGCGATATGACGATTGCTGTCGTATCACGCAAATGCTATTATATAGTATTGTATATGGTGTATACGGTGCCTGTAGCATTTTTTCGGTGTGTTTGATGGTAGCCTGAGGTTCAGTTGTTTTCAATTTGATAGTAGCTTTCAATTCACCAATATGGCAAAATTCATAAGATCCTTCATTGAGTGCCACGTTTGTTGGCAAACAGAAGAAAATTTTTTGTTGTACCTGACAGATTTTTATTCGTGCTTCGTAAAATATCAAGGCGTTGTTCATGATAACTCATCATAATGGTTGATAACGATTGGTGTGTATAGAACTGAATTATCTTTTACTATCACAACGTTGCCGAATGGTTGATTAATCAAACACTAAACAATTCATTCAATTTTGTGAAATCACTGCTATACATTGCTGATAATCATTGCTCAGTGATCTTATCAATCAATGACAGATGTGTTCGTCTTCGAGAAGCCTTCTGCGATTATTTGCAGCACAAGAGCACATACCTAATGCATCTCTTGGTTTCACAGCAATAGAGGTCAAGTCGGCGTCAAGAGTTATTGCTACTTGAATGTGTTTCAACAAAGACCATTTCTATGAATATATTTTTTAATATTTACAAGTAATCAATTTTATATTACAAATCATTCGCTGGTAAAATGTGACTCGTCAATTTGTGGCCTGAATTTTTCAAATATCAGGTTGTTACGACAGAAATGAGCAAAATGTTACTGGCTGCATATGACATACCGAACAAGTGCGATCATATGAAATAAGAATAGCAGCAACAACCATTCAATAAATATGCAAAGTTGATTTTATCGTGTGCACTTCATTCGCATTCACTCATCATATTTCATGTGCGTATATTGGTCAACTTACTGATTCCGATAGCAGTCACAAACAGACAAAATTTTCGAAAGCACTAATAGAGAATCGTTTTCAGCATATGAATGAAGTTATGCAAAAATTGCAAGTCTCACTGGAGTTAGTATTTCTCCGGAAACTCACTTCGCGGGCGGGATCTTCTAGAGGATCACTTTGAATCGCAAAACAATTCTCCAAATTAAAATTTATTATTGTATTTCGTGGACGCACTAAACTTGAGCAAATTCCAGCACAATCGAATATTGACATTCCACGTGAAAAATCACACGAGTTATTGTGCGACGCTTTCGTGAATTAAACGTCACTTGTTTTTATGGTAAGTCGAGGTTCACAAAATCACAAGACGTTTTCAGTTCTGCGATGAACAACCGAAATAACACTTCTCATTGTTGTTATAATTTGAGAGATGATGTTCCAGCAGTGTTTTATCGCATCGATCACTGAGTTGCAACTGACTGCCGTCATTAACCACCGTGTTGCAATTCACATGTGTGCTATCGACGCAGAAGTGTCACTTCATTAACACGTTCTGATAATCCATTCAATGAAACCCGACAATCTGTCACGTTTGCTCGTGTCGCTGACCAAAAAAAGGCATCTTCTGCTTTCGCAACTACACGAAATGCGATTATACGACGCAACGATCGTCGAAACCTTCTGAAAAAACAACCAATTGAAGAATGCAGTACATTCACATGAAATAGAAAGGCACTTTCAAGCTATGCTCGAGTCAGTACGCTTTTAAACTTCTAACAGAATGATATTTAACGTTGTGAATCTTAGCGTATTCTCTGAGATTCGACCAGAAATCTAGTTACTCTTCCATATCAATTCAGTAATTTTTTGAGAGGCATTCAAATATCAAAACAAGAGAAATAGCATCTCACCTCGACATAAGCATATAGACAGCAAAAGTAATCGGATGCACGCCAATGATGATAATATTTGCGATTGCGTAAAGATGTGGATTTTCACAGATCGAGAAGGCGAACGATGGTTGAAAATCGGATAATTTCAGGCATCCAGTTATGACGACACTTGGCAGTTGTGCCACCAGGAACATGACGATGATCACAGTAAGCATCACGGTTGTTTTTGTAACCGACGAACCCTTGTGTGATGTGCTCCGATGTCGATGCATTCTTAACAGGATTTTTGGTTCAGTTCACGTTTCTATTCCTATTTGTTCACAACTCTTCTAGTTACTTTTTTTGCAGCTCAGCTGTTCCATTTATGGCTATGAGATTTACTTGAAGGCATCATGTATCATATGTTTCCATGAGGCAACCCGCTTTACCACTCTCCACTATACATCAATTTGAATCTCGTTATTAGAGGTGTTATGAGAAGATTTCGATAAAAATGATTTTTTTCGACAAAATAATTCAGTGACTGGAAAACATCGCTAAATGATAAGCGAATGGCAATTCTGTTGAAGTTTACAGTTGGTCTATAATTGATCATCCAAGTCTGTTCAATAAGTTGCCAGATTCATAGATTAATTTCCGAATTTCCTCTCACTTTCCACCGGGATATGCTGGATTGTCACGTGGAGTGGAAGGGGAAATTATGGTCATTATGTTGTCGGGGGAAAAATCTTGGCTTAGAATCGATTAAATGAGAC